AACGTCCAGTTTCTCTGCAATGGTCAATTGTACAGGCAAATAGACGGCGTAGCGATGGGCTCACCGCTCGGCCCATTCCTCGCAAATGTCTTCATGGGCAAAGTCGAGATGACAAGTTTACAAGACACCATTAATGACCTCAGCTTCTACGGTCGGTACGTAGACGATATTTTCTGCCTGACGGATGTTACCACCGACACAGACGTCCTGATTAAAAAATTCAACAATTCACACCCCTCGCTAACGTTCTCTGCAGAGTTTGAGGCAAACAATGAAATCGCGTTCCTCGACGTTCTTCTGCACAGACAAGAGGATGGGTCTATCCAACGTAGAGTATTCCGAAAGAAAACCTGGACGGGACAATACATTAACTTTCACAGTTTTGTTCCCCTCAACATCAAACGAAATCTAGTCCAGGGATTGGCAGCTAGAGTGCGACGTATCTGCTCTCCTGAGACGGTGGAGGCAGAACTGCAGCAGCTGCGGGATACACTCCACGAAAACGGATATCCAGAAAGATTTATCCTTCGAAATATAGGGGAGCGCACTGCAAAACCTACCATGGCAACTGCAGAAAAGAAGGACTTATTTATACGATTGCCTTTTCAAGGAGACGCAGCAAGTGAACTGGTAAAAAGACGTCTGAAGACAGCGATCACTAACGCTTTCCCCGCGGCGAACTTACGTGTGTGTTTCACTAACTCTCCCCTCCTACGCTTGGGAGGTAAAGACCGACTCCCGTTGCAGGCCACATCAATGTGTATTTATTCATTCACTTGCTCCTGTGGAGCGGGCTACATCGGCCGTACAACGAGGCGTTTGGAAACGAGAGTACGTGAACACATACCGGCCTGGCTAGGCAAAGGTGAGAAGAAATCGATCTCGAGTTCTATTCTCGCACATCTTGTCGATACGAATCACCGAGTCGATGCCAAAGAAGCCTTTCAGATTGTCTACCGGACACCAGCAGGCTTCTCCAAAGGCCTCCGCCAACGGGTGCTAGCTACAGCTGAGGCAGTGGCTATACGGCTAGCCAATCCAGTGCTATGCTGTCAGAAGACTCTGACACAGGCGCTCTGTCTTCCGTGGCCGACGCCGACCACAACGTCGCTCCAACCTCCTGATGCCAGGGTGGGTGCACAAGGTACACGACGCACTCACAGCCTATGCCCCCCCTCCTCCTCGCCCCCCGAACCCAATTACCACTACACGCCGACCACGCCATAGCACGCCTCGTCATGCGAGTGGCGTGGGAACGATCGATGTTAATTGTCCCGAATCATTTATAAGTCATGTAACTCGCATAACTTAAACTTCATTGTAACCGTTTTGGCCTGATGAAGAGTTACTGAAAACACGTGTTCGCCAATTTGACTTTTCAAAACGACTAGTATACTATTCAAGGTGACAGATAACTTTAATGGGTAACGCACTCGGTCTCTTCCTTTGTTTTTGTTAGTGAGCATGAAATCAAATTAAATAAAACGTTACACGGTGTCACATCTCACTAAATGTGTGTTTTTTATATTAAAACAGTTCTTTATGACTAATGCAAAGACCTTATCTGGACGATCATCTTGCACAAAGTTGCATTATTGTACTTCATGTTATATCATACACAATAAACCAAATGTTCCGATGCTCGAACCCTCTTCTTCTTCACTTGTGCTTACACCTGAAGCTCGAAATTCCGCCTTAATTCGTGAAATGTCCGGGCGCGATGCGTTTCGGTAAACTCGCATCTGGGAGATACTCTCCACACGAGAGGCAGCAACACACGGACAGGTACGTTTTCTGCACCGATGTATCCAAAATGAACTAACCCCACGATGTCTAAGAAATAAACCTCCCGTTAATACGGCTATGGGAAGAGACGTTGTGAGGCGGTTTGTCAAACAGATGACAAGAGTTCTGATCGACGACTGTCACCGGCGTTTGCCGAAATAAAAGACTAAGATCGACGAGAATAGAAGGCAGTGTGTTCACACTCTCGGTAATTCTATCGCCGCGGTTCTTGGGAAGTCAATCACCGCTTTGGCACACCACAGGCAAGTCATGAAGAGAGAAGTTTGAGAAAGGAAATCTACCAAGCTAAAATCAACAGGCACAGAAAGCTCAAACTTGGTCCACAACCTCTCGTTTAAGTATCTAAAAGAGCAGCAACTACGAGTGCTAGAGCATAAACCGTGTTTCAATACTGAAGATTCCGTTCCCGTCAACTATATTTGAGCCCTGGAAGCTATGCTTGTAAGAAGTGAAACATCCAACGACACAAAAACACTCAATCCGACAACGTGTTACCTCCTTACTGATGACACACAGACCAACCCAGTGCATTTTGCAGAGTGAGTCAAAGGTTATGAGGAAACTGAGGAAAGATGACAGAATCATCATTCAACCTGCCGACAAGGGACGATCAACCGTCGTGATGAATAGAGAAGACTATAATGAAAAAGCAAAAGCCCTTCCTGATAACAGAGAATTTTACAGACCATCACAGAAGTCACAAGCCAAAGCAGTGGCAGATCGACTGAGTAAATTGCTTAGAGAATACCGGCATAAAAATAAAATCACGGAAAATTAATGGCACCAAATTATGGCAACTGACACCGCTCTAGCTCGATTATATGGTCTACCAAAAATCCATAACGCATATGTCCCACTTCGGTCAATCGTTGCCCTAAAAGGCAGCCCCGCACACAATCTCGCAAAGCGGATGTACTCAAAACTGCAGTTACTCCAAGGCTATTCGACTACCTCAGTTTGATCAGCCTCTTAATTTTCTGAAGACCTCCGTGGTCGGAGGATTCAGTCGGATGAAATCATGGTCTGCTTCGGCGTTACGTCGTTATTCGCGTACATCGCGCCAAACTTCGCTCGCAGTCTTGCGCAAGAGGTATGGAGAGGCGTACGACGAGACTGAGAATGAACTCAAAATTGAACACCTCATAAGGCTAGTTGAATCCTGCCAACAAACTTTCTTCACTTTTACGTGCCGGTGCTCGAACCATCCTACTCTTCATTTATGCATACTCATGAAACTCAAAATTTCAGCTTCATTCATATCATACACTGCCTTGTAATATTCTTCAAATACGTACTTGCGCAAATGAGACTCACTTGGTCTTATGTCAGTTCCCAAAATCCCATGCATTACGGCAAAAATCGGATTTTTACGAAGCTTTTAAATATGTCTGTCCCCATGATAGCATAATGTAAAGATCATACACTATCTGTATGCATCGTCTGCATATTCAGTTACCATGGCGTTCGCGGGACTCCTAGGTACTTCAACAGCCGTTTTAACGAGCAGACGCTTCCAGCTTGAATTATCACAGAACAATGAGTATTTTTGGAGGAAAATGTACTGTTTACAAGTTCAAGACCTAGATCATAGGTGTAATCATATGCTGATATTTAAGTGATATGGACTTTGTTATCATATCTGAAACAGAAAGAGCCGTTCATTTTGATGCAAACGTTGACGAATGTCGTTTGTTTCTATATCACCATGAGCTGTGATTTCTGTCTCACAAATTCCAGTGTAGCATCCCCAAATGTCCATGAGTGTTGAAATCAAAACCAACGAAGGATGTTGCTGTAACGCATATTTGCTAATTTAAATAGTTCTTGAGGTTGAGCAAAAATTATCACTCTATAAATCGCAAAATATGCGCAACTCACTTTGCATGTTAATGAGAATCGGAGCTCTATGCATCCGAAATCTTGTAACGGGACTAGTATTTGCTTACGCCGTTTCGGTCGTTCGTAACATGGGTTTTACAGCGATTTCGCAAAGCCTTTGAGACACATGCCTTATATCTCAATTGCGTACCCAAATGACATTGTTTTGCTGCTTGTGTTTAAAAAACACCCTAGATCCCTCGCCCTCTGACTGCACTAAATCTTTTTCGATTACACTGCTTTTATCTTGATCGAAACTAAAACTCAGCGACTTGGCTGTCCCGCAAAACATTCTCTAAAATAAAAATGCAAAATGCACTTTATTAAACATTTTGCCTGCGAATATGATATTTCTCGTTATTGCCCTTACTGCCCATGATGGTATCAGATGATTTTCACGTAATTGTACACATTTGACGATGGGAGAATCCCAGTTCGGAAAATTAAGTTATTTCATTCAAATGCTTGTCACACTTAGAACCATATTCGTCAACGTAACAGGGACATATTCATGAGCCTTATCTATGTTGTACGTGCATTCCTTTGTAAGATATATGCGAACATCTAAGGTAAAGATTTCTGTCTCAAGTGATGGTGGCATCTGATTATTTACACAAAGTTGTCCAAAAGCCACTACTGACACAACTTACTTTGAAGAAATTTTTACAGATATTTCAATAAGCTTAAGCAGATCTCTTGAGTGAAATATGCAAACTCGTTGGGTACCCGGCGAAGATAATGAGAAAGAAACGTTGGTTATGTCTGGTCTCACAGTTTTGGACACTACGAGATGTTTGCAATTAACGTCGAATGTTACGATGTATTAGAGTGATATGATATTAGCACATGCAAACTATCTTTAGCAGCATATAAGGCATTTGGTAATTTCAATTCCACCAAGTAGACCGCATTTTTTTCGATGGCACCAGGTTCCCTGTCGATGAACATACGGATCGTGTGCATGTTTACCCAGTGAGCTGTGACACCCTTCTCTTTCTGACACATTTTTGTTGCTGGATGAAGCCCTGGTCACGTGTTTGATGCGAGTTAGGGAAGGTTATAGTACGCCTAGGTGCGGGTCCGGCTGTGCCAGCCACTTAAGCTTTATCCTGCCTTCGGTTTTTCTGGCTACATCTTGACGCAGCTCAGGCGGTGAGGAGAAGAGAGTGCGGTAGATTCTGAACACGTCTATTATCATTATAAACTAACCCATGCACAAGCCACTGCGTCTGCTCTCATCATGCTGTGAAGCACGCAGGGACATGGCCGGCAGTGACGATCTAACTGCCGTTTTGCCGGTGGAAGCACTGTTTTGCCCTTCATATTATATCACCTTCTGTAAGAAGAAGACCAGTGGACTTGTGTTAGAACAGCAGGTTTCGGCACAAGTAGTCCAAGTTTATTCGGCGATATTTTTCATAGATATTTCTGAAAATGTCGGTTGTACAAATAATGTCTACTTTTGACGAAATGCCAAAAGGTGATTCTACCTGAGGTTTAGGCACACAGAAGAGTGCCTGGGGTCTGGAAGACGAGTTTATGTAAAAAGGATTTTTTTGAGTGGACTTCCAATTTTCACCACTTTTGTGTATATAAAAATTAAGGTTCCAATTTCCGATAATATTATTTAGTCAAGTTATGGCATTTAAAAGAAACTAATCGCCCAATGAAAATGCTAAATGACTCTTTAGCGTGTAGTTATATTTTAGGGTAGTCTGTGCTGTCCGCAGGCAAAATAATTAGGTCTTTGTCGGACATATGATTTCTTTTTTGACATTAAAATGCACTACTGGCTGCCTATATGTGAGAGCTCAAGAAGCGCATCTAACCCCTTTCTGTGCTTTCTAGCATGCGCGAAGAGGACGCTACACTCCACCAAACCATATTACTCACTGGCATTCAAACTCTGTGAATCCGGAATGTGACTATTTCGACCCCCCTCATTTCTGACCGCGAAATCAGTCCCGGTCATTTGCCAGCACAATTCTTGCAAGACCTTAGAGGGGTGAGCTCCCTGCCAAAAGACATCATCCTATCATTTGATGTAAAGTGCCATGTTTCCTTTTAGTCCACAGAAACTGCCAGTCCAGACCAACAAATAACTCCTACAGAACAAAGATTTGCGAGATGAAGGATTGTCACAGACACGCATAAATCCTCCAACATGCAAGGTCCAATCTCAAACCACTCGTAAACCTTCCGAGAACGGCTTACGAGCAGGTGAACGGCAAGCCAATGGGCTCGCTGATTCTAGGAATCATTGCTGAGGCGGTCCAAAAACTGTTGGAGTCGCTGGTTTTCGACATTACAGACCAATATTTTGGTATAATATATGGATGGCACCTTCGTCGTCACTCGATTGTGTCAAGCATTGGCACTCAAAAATTATTCCAACGCCATCTTTCCGGGCATATAATCTACAATTAAAGAAAACGGAAACAACCCGATAGCTTTCATTGATGTTCGCATCCGCTGCAAATATTGTGGTGGTCTAAGATCTAAAGAGTTCACATATGTGATTAATAGGACACAAGTACTGAGAT